GGCTCGAGAGATCGTTTTAAATAGTCGTACAGTTAGCTGAAATAACAGCGCCGTAGGGAGAAGAAATGTTTGAATGTTCTTTTTTTTTCCTCTTTTCCTTTTATTCTCCTTCCCGACGAATGTTCCGCGTGGCTTTTGCCGTTTAATCCCCGAGCTACAGCTGTCGTAGGATTTTCGAATTATCAATTTGATTTGAACTTTGAATTTATCGCTGTCAGAGATGATATCAAATAGCCGACAAATATCCGACATGAAATCTCTGTCAGAGATTTATTTAATGGAATAAAATTAAATTTTTTAAATTTTTGTAATTCTTGTAGTTATTTTGTGACCACTTGAGAATTTAAACTATCGCGTACATTCTTTGTCACATCTTTATAATCTAGTAATATTAAACATAAAATTTGTCTTGTACTAAATGTACAAAATAATTCGTATCCGAGAAGTTGCTTATTCGTAGAAAACTAAAATGTATTTTAATCCAGGAAATAATTTCTTCTAATCTGAAACTTTTCTTTTATTGTAGGATGACTAGAATACATATTATAGGATGATAAACGCGCAATATTTTAATATCTATTTAAAAATACAATTGAAATAAGATGGGGGTCGATCCTACAATGTTGTTCTAGGTTCAAGACATCCATATGTCTACGTTTTAAAAATTTCATTCTATTACTCCTTTCCCGGCACATATCAGACGAATTATTTATAACAATTATTAATTCCCGAATTTTAAATTGGAACTGGTTTATTACAATCAGTTGTTAATCTTTAGTAACTGTAATTTTTAACAACAACTAATTCTAATAACAACTATCTTTATTAAATAATTAATTAGTTGAAGATTCGTTACGTACAGCTTTTGCACTGGCAGCGTAGTATTTTTATATTCAAGGTTCTTCACGCGTTCACTTGAAATAAATGAAATATTCGTTAAAATATGGATTTCTCGAAACAAAACACGTACGCTCATTAAGATCTATCGAGCGCTTTGCAAACCACGAGCATCATTATACAACGTTACACGACACTGCGAGGAATTTGCATTAAACATGTATATTTCAAACGATTATCCGTGGAACGATAAGTTTCTAAATGTACATATCCGTGGTGAGATTTTTCATTCCAAGTTAAAACGGAGTAAACACGAATGTAGTTACGAGGTAAACAACGATAATTACGCGTCGAAGTAACAAGGAGAGAGGAAGACTGTTCGAATGACAGTACACGATCGACCGGCGAGCGATAATTACACGTGTTGTCGCGTTCTCTTTCCTGGGAAACACGACGAAATTGTCGTCGATTGGAACAGAAAGTGGCACGAATTTCAACGTTGAACGAAAGAAAATCGAGCGGCGGCTACTTTTGTCGAGCGGTAAGTTCACGAAGTTGAACGGGTTAGGATAATCGCGAGGAGGGGTTTGATCAAAGAACGGTTGCCGTCAGATCGAGGAATTTAATTCACTTTGCTCGGCTCGTGCTCGAGCCTAACATCTCTATTATCTTCTGCCGTCGAGGCTGAAATATTGGACAAATCCTCTCCGGGGCTTTGCCAGGATTATTGGAAGCTCCGGACCAAACGATACTGTATATCGTCGCTGTAGCGGCACATATTCGCCCTTTAAAAACCATAGATAAATTTAAGCCGTCCGCGCTCGTCCGCCACGCTTTGCCCCGGACTACCTGCAAGCGTTTACAGCAAAGAGATAATAAATTAAACAACGTTCCGGGATTAGATGGCATCGAACGTCGTATCATTGAATGGACATCGTGCCTAGAAACGCGAACGATAAAT